AGGGTTTAGGGTTTAGGGAACCCCGAAGCATAACTCTTGGCTAGAGTTGAGAACTCAAAGCCCCGAGCCCTGCGGAAGACGTCGAACGAGTTGTTGTACTGGAGGCTCATTTCGGCTTTGCTGCAGCAGAAGGCGGATCCCAATGAGTGCACGACGATGCCGGAATCCACTTGCCAGTTTGCTGCCAAGACTCCATGCTTCTTCGCTGTTGTTTATTGAATGACGATTTTCCAACACCCCTCCAAACCCTATACTGCGCTTTCCTACGCTAAATCCATCATTCCCAAAACGCTGAACCCTAAACCCTAAACCTTAAAACCTAAACCCTAAACCCTAAACCCTAAAGTGCTACGTTCTGGAGAGTGCTGTGCCCCGGCTTGGACACCTAACCCGGGATGCCCATGCTGCGGCAAAGTTTCCATCCAGGGTTCTCACCGGTTGTTTCGCAATGGTCTTGGATTGTTGTCATTCGATGCATTTTTCATCTCATGGGATTTTCAAGTGACTTTGTCATGCAGTGCGGAGATGTGGGAAGTGTGTCTGTGATGACTGCAACGAGAGACGAGGGTGATGACGACGGTGAGAACAATGGTAATGACGACGGCCATGACAGTAGAGATCATGGTCGTAGCGAGGCTAATAAAGTTGCTGAGCATGGTCAAGACGATGGAGATGATGATGGCAATGATGTTGATGGTGATGCTGAGGATGATGATGATGCTAATCCCGTGGCAAATGTGGTGCTCATGCTGGAGGTGTGTTCAGGGGCCACAGGTAGCAGGTCTCGGGAAATGTCTGAGGTTCGACTGCCTGTACCCGAGGGAGTCCCACCAACTGCCAGAGAGACAGCTGTCAGGTTCAGCGTCTCACAAGTTAACCTGAAACTGCAAGGAGAAAGCGGCAAGGATTCATAGCAGACGTCATTTCGAAAACCCACGACTATTAGTCCGTAATACTGTTTCTGTGCCGCTGATTTTCTCGCTACTTTTGGTCAAGCACTTCGAACTTTTCTTTGATGACTTCGCCGAGGCTTGGCGATCTGTGCCTTCTTGAAGCACAATCATGCGCTCCGAGTGCTCTTGGCCTCCAATGCAGACTTGAATGCCAAGGACCGGGGTAGACCCTGCATCCCGAACTCTAGACCTGTAAAGCCCCAATCGTCGACGCTCAGCAAATCCCGAGTTTTACACCCAACATCCCTGAGTCCTAAATGTCCTAAACCCTAGACCCTGTTTAGCACCCCAATGACAACCAAGGGCTGCTGTATCACAGGACGGGTATGGTGCAACGGCTCTGCACTGGGCTGCTGCAGGAAACAATGCTGAAGGAGGGGCATCGGTAGATATCTGTCTAGTGTTTGTGATTGATGCATGTTTTCGAGTCGACAGCGTGTTGAAGGCAATACACCATGCCAGGGTATGTGTCTAAATGGCAATGTACGAACATGAGCAACTGTCAGCCGTACCTAGATGTAGCAGAAGTATTTCCGAGATTGTGGTCTGATGAAGCTTTCGCCGTTGTGCTGAAACTTCCAACTTGCAGTACTGATCTTGAACGTCCTACTCGGAGCTTCGTGGGCAGTTGAAGGTAGGGATGTACATGCCCGGTTTCAGGGGCTATATGGGAGTTTTCAATGATCACTGCCAGATTTATTCAACAAGAAACCTTACTTAAGACTACTGTAGACTGTAGACCGCTGTGTAATATTTGTTACGGGAGAGGTTTTTATCAGTCGGGGTCTGCATTGCTGATGAACTTTCAAGTAAAGCGATCTACTGCTACCTCGACTGAACCTCCAGCGGGCCTGAATGTCTAACAATATTATCCATTAGGGTTTCGTATTGCATCGATGCAGCAATTACATTAAGCCCTACATGAACCGCGGAGACTAGGCGCTTAAACCCCAAGCCCTATGGATGCCTGAACTCCTAAACACTGGACCCGAAATGCTTACACCACCTTAGCTTAAGTACCAGAAAACTTCGAGAGCCGGGTCGTATTATCAGGGCAACTGCACTCGTAGCTTAGCCACCCCGTAAATCCTACAGCACTTGCAAAGCCCTACGCAGCCCCTTTTGAAGCCTTGTTGGCTATACCTGGACCCACACTTCAAGAACAGTCGTCGGAGGAATTCAGATCCTTCGCAAGGCAGGCTGTGACCGCGCCATCCAGGTCCCCAACATGCTGGGCTACTGTGTTCATGTTAAAGGACTCGTTTCAACTGGCTCTGTGTTTTTTTTTTGGGGGGGGTGGTGTCTGGCTTATTGGTATGTATAGTAGATGAGACGGTTTGTTTTGCTTACTGTGGTGACTTGAATCATGTTCCTTGACACGAATCCAGGCTACTCTCCGTTCGCCATGGCTTGTGCCGGAGGTGGACTGGAAGCCATCAAGGACGCCGCAGTTTCTGAAAAGAGGCATCCGTTTTGGACTCCAGAGAAGGGAGCTTTTGCTCAGAGTTGTGCCTTCAAGGGCGTGTGGGAGGGTTGGGGCACATGGGTGTTCGAGCTTTATGTTTAAGGCTTCAGTGCCTTCGGGTTTGAGGTGTAAGAACTTGGGGTTGCTTTGGCCCTAAACCCTAAACCCTAAACCCTAAACCCGAAGGCTTGGGAGTGGTGCAGATTTCGGGATGAAAGCTCCGCTGTCGCAAGGTTATTAAAAAAACGGCACAGCATCTCCAAGCTCTTCGGGTTTGAGGTGTCAGAGTTTGGGGTTTGAGGTGTAAGAATTTGGGGTTGACGAGTCTAGGGCTTTGGCGATGTGTTCCGATTGGGATCCTGCATGTCCAAAACCCTAAACCTCTCTTTCATATAGTAATATAAACCCTAATGACTTCGTGCTTCGAGGCTAACATTTCGTGGCTCAGGGCTAACATTTCGTGGTTCGAGGCTAACATTTCGTGGTTCGAGGCTAACATTTCGTGGTTCGAGGCTAACATTTCGTGGCTCAGGGCTAACATTTCGTGGTTCGAGGCAAATCCTTCGTGGTTCGTGGCAAATTTGCTTCGTGGTTCGAGGCTAACATTTCGTGGTTCGAGGCTAACATTTCGTGGTTCGAGGCTAACATTTCGTGGCTCAGGGCTAACATTTCGTGGCTCGAGGCTAACATTTCGTGGTCGAGGCAAGTT